GTCATGGCTGTCGCCAGCCAACGAGTTGGTGTTTTTTCAATGTATGCTTCAGACACGGGTCAGGACGAGGCGTTCCCCATAGCGATCCCTACAGGACGCAGTGTCTCGTTCCCTACTCGGGGAACCATGGTTACATAAGTAACCTGAGACGTTTTTCAGTTATGCATATGAATGTATTTCGCTAAGGTTGATCAGGGTTTATCAATGTTTTTCATTTCACTAGTGTTTGTAAGAGGCTTTTCAATAATTATGGTCTATACGGCCCCTCATACCTTTAGTAGACTTTTATTAAATATATTTGGTCTTAATTTGATAATGCTTTTTGTTAGCAATTTGGGTTTAGTATTCTCAGCTCCATTAACATAAACTGTTAAATGCCTATTCCACAGAATTCTGTAGATTTTCCCTTTAATTTGATACAGATTTTTATACAGTCTGGGCCTGCCTTTGGCTTTATTTTATTTATGACACATATGTGAATGTGATTTGGTGTCTGCATCTGTCTTAACATGCTTTTCCATATATGATGTATTGAACAAATGACATATTTTATGAAATAATAATTTCCAGTTAAAACAAGGGGCTATAGTTCTTTGCTTTTTTATAATTTTATTGATTTTTAAATTTTTTTGACTTTGTAAAGGAGCAGAGCTGTTGAGTACTTTGCGGCAGTATGTCTGTTGGACCTGTTTGAAACACTCTGGAATAGAGGCTCAGGGGAAACACAAATTAGGCCTTGAACAAGAGTTGGACATACTTAATCAGGTTGTGTGCGTTTGCTCGAATTGATTCGCTGAAATCAAATCAGGGACGATAATAGGTGAGGACCAGCCAATGAGATTGCCGTTTGCGCACTAGTTCCGTCTACTACAGGAAAACCCGGCAGTTCTTAAAGAAAAATAGCTAAATTTGTTGCTAGGTGCTTTTGGAAGAAAAAGTTGCTAGGGTAGTCTGAAATGTTGCTAAATCTAGAAACAAAATTGCTAAGTTGGCAACACTGGACCAGGGTTTAAAAGAGTTTGTGTGAACTTTAATGTAAGGACGGATCGGCCCTCTCTCGATACCCGATCCGAGAAAAATGGCACTATCGGAGCCGATACCAGATATGAATATCGGATCGGCGCATCCCTAATAAGAATAGATACTGTCATTATCGTGATTGTAATAAACATTATTAGTACTATCATCTTTAAGTGTTGATAAAACTGCAGAACTATTATTATAGCTACAGAGTTTGTTATAATACATAATTACAGTGCAGTGCAAAGTTTAATTGAAATGTGGGATTTAAAATGTAATTTTAACCTTGAAATAAAATCTTTGGATTAACTTTGGACAAATTAAAATTTGAATGAAATTTTATTGTGTAAAATAAATAAATTTTTTTTTTTTTTTTAATCT